CCGCCCATTCCCAAAATTAATAATCAGCTCTCCCTCAGGGTGCTGCCACTCTGGTCAAAATATATCACTCTTTCAGCAAAACTAAAAGGCAACCAACAGAATGGGAGAAGATATTTGCAAATGCCATATCAGATAAAGGGTTCATATCCAAAATCTATAAAGAACTTCTCAAACTCAACACCCAAAAAACAAATCATCCAGTGAAGAAATGGGCAAAAGACATGAATAGACACTTCTCCAAAGAAGACATCCAGATGGCCAACGGACACATGAAAAAATGCTCAACATCACTCATCATCAGGGAAATAAATACAAATCAAAAGCACAATGAGATACCACCTCATACCTGTCAGAATGGTCAGCATTAACAATTCAGGCAACAACAGATGTTGGTGAGGATACAGAGAAAGAGGATCTCTTTTGCATTGTTAGTGGGAATGCAAGCTGGTGCAGCCAGTCTGGAAAACAGTATGGAGGTTCCTCAAAAAACTAAAAATAGAACTACCCTATGACCCAGCAATTGCACTACTAGGCATTTACCCATGAGATACCAGGTGTGCTGGTTCGAAGGGACACATGCACCCCCATGTTTACAGCAGCACTATCAACAATAGCCAGAGTATGGAAAGAGCCCAAATGTCCATCGATGGATGAATGGATAAAGAAGATGTGGTATATATATACACAATGGAGTATTACCTGGCAATCAAAAAGAATGAAATCTTGCCATTTGCAACTATGTGGATGGAACTGGAGGGTATTATGCTAAGTGAAATTAGTCAGAGAAATACAAAAATCATATGACTTCATTCATATGAGGACTTTAAGAGACAAAACAGAGGAACATAAGGGAAGGGAAACAAAAATAATATAAAAACAGGGAGGGGGACAAAACAGAAGAGACTCATAAATATGGAGAACAAACTGAGGGTTACTGGAGGGGTTGTGGGAGGGGGGATGGGCTAATCGGGTAAGGGGCACTAAGGAATCTACTCCTGAGATCATTGTTGCACTATATGCTAACTAACTTGGATGTAAATTTTAGAAAATAAAAAATAAAAATAAAGAAATATATCGCTCTTCTTCCCTTCAAATTATCTTCAACTGTGACCTCCCCTTCCTCAGTTCCCACTGATTCAACTGCCCTTATGCATACGCACACACACACACACACACACACACACACACCACTGTGCAAGCTGCTCCCTTCACTCCACTCAAACTGTTCTCACCAAGGTCACTATCAACCCTCACGTTGCAAAATCCAAGGTCTCTTCTCTGTGCTCACGGTTGCCAGCTGCCCCCCACCCCCACCCCAAACAGTTCTTCCAACCAGGTGACTCACCCTCCCTGAGAACCACTTTCTCCTTTGCCAGATAAAATACAGGACACCAGTTAAAATAAACTCTCAAACAACAAATAATGTTTTAGTATAAGTATGTCCCAAATATTGCATGGGACATACTTATGCTATTTTTTTTTTTTTTTGTCTATCTGAAATTAAAATTGACTGGATGTCCTGCATTTTTACTTGCTAAATATGGTAACCCTACTCCCTGCTTCTCTACCCCATGTGCTCCCCACCCTGCTGTCCCTTCTTTAGCTCCTCCTCATCAGCCTGCTCCACAGTGGTTGGCCTTGACTGCCTTCTCTTCTCAAACTCCCTGATCTCTGGGACAGCTTCTCCCACACCCTTGAGCCCAGCTCCACTCGAAGCTGGGCTTGCCCAGAGTCTCTAAAGCCCTTCTCTCTTTAGATCCTACTGCAGGACCCGCTGCTCCTCTGTAGTAATAGCAGATTGCAATGCTGGGGGCGGGGGTGGGGGGCGGGGGCGGTGTGCGCACAAGCACACAGTAGGAAAGACCGTACCTGCCCAGCCTGACAAGCAAGGCTGCCTCTTTGTTGCCTTTGTCCTCTGTTACCCAGAAACGTGCTGGTCAGGTGTGACAAGAAGGAGCTAGCTGTCATCCGTCCTCACCTCCTCCCGCCAAACTGCCTACTCCCTGCCGCCACAAGCTCTCTGAATGTCCACTCATGCTGCTCCTCCTGAACACCCTCTCCCAAATTCTCCTTGTTGAAGTGCCCTCTTTTCTGCAAGTCTAGCTCAAGGGCCCCTCCTCCCAGGTTTCCCTGGGTCTCCCCGCTCTCCCTCCCCTGAGCACCCGATTGTGTTATTTGCAGCCTTGTCCAGATCAGTAAATTGGGGGTTCACCAACTGCTGGGACCATGTCTTGTTGACCCCCATGTTCCCTGGGCACGGCCTGGTACACAGTTGGTGCCCAGCCAGTGCTTATTGAATAGAGGAGTGAATGACTGACTAAATAAGAGAACAAGTGACAGAATGAATAAGCACATGCATGAGTAAGTGAGGGAGGAAGACTCAGTGAGTAGATGGAGGGGTAGGTGGGTGGATGGACGGATGGATGAACGGATGGATGGATAGTGGTTAGATAGGTGGGTAGATTAGCAAGTGAACAAATGAGGAAAACTCAGGGCTTGATATGATGCCCATCACCTGCAAAGTGAGGTCAAGCTTCCTACCGTTGCTTTGTTTTCAGAGTCATGTGATTCCAGCCTGCAGACCCTCCTTCCACTGACCCAGCAAGGTTGTGACCATGAGCACAGGGACAGAGCTCTGGGCCTGGGGTCTTGATACCTGGGTCCAGCTGAACGGCACCTGACCTGGAACAGAGCTTACTGTGCTGGAGGGCAGAGAGAGACCAAGGCTTACTCTTTCTCCCTTCCCAGGCCTTGCACTGCTGTCTCTGCCCACCTGGAGCTTCCATGCCCGGGTATATCTTTGTGTCTAGACATGCTTGCCCACCTCTCATACCTGGGAACCTCTGAGAACAGGCCCCTACTGAGCTCTTTAGAGACGCACCACCCAGGACCCCCTCAAGGAAGGATTCAGGGGCAGCCTCAGCTGCAGGGCTGCTCTGCCTGAGGCTGAACCTTAGGGGACAGGGAAGGGGGCCGCTAGCACTCAGAGACTGAGCAGAGGTAGGAGGCACATATCAAGGTCCTGCCTCATAATTTGACCTTTTCCTCTATCTAATCCTGCACTCTCCTCCTTCCCCTCATGGATAATGATCCCTATAAACCCCAAGCTTTTTCTCCGTGTTCATTTGAGGAGAACACAACCTGCAACAGTTCCCTTCACTCAGTCTCTGGGTCCTCTTTGCAGCCGGTTTCCTTCCACGTGCATCTACGAAGACCCTGTTTGGGGGCTTTCAGGTCCAGAGTGACCAAGACAAGCTTCCCAGGAGCTCCCGTTCCTGGGCAGTCAGTGCCTCTCCCTTCCCCGTGCTCCCCTGCTCCATCCCTCTCCACCAGCCTCTCCCCCTGGCCCCTTCCCCCTCTGCACCCCTACAGCCCCAAGCCTCTCTCTGAGAGCCCTTCCTCCGGCAGCCACAAGGCCAAGATGGCCTGTCTAGGTACCCGTAGAGGCCAGACCCCTGTCAGGGTCAGTTTTTCCCTCCTCAATAAGCAGGTCCTAGGAGAGGCATCCATTCAAGGCAGGATGGAGATGTATGAGCCAGGAGAGCCAGAAGTTTGCGTCCTTCAAACCATATTCTAAACCTGGCACAGCCTTCATTTCCTGCTACAGAAAAAACAGATTTTCTATTAATGAAAACTGAGCATGTCTTTATTTGTGATGAAAGCAAGAGCTTTGTTACATGCTCTCAATGTAACACAACATTTTAACGTATTTGGAATTATCTTGCAGCTCATGATTTTTCTATCATTCCTAAGTGATGGAAGTCACTTCCATTCTCTGAGAATAGAAGTGACCTATAAGAATATAGTAAGAAAGTCTCAAAGTATGTTTCAAAGTCTTCTTTCTGGCGTTGCTGTTAAGAAAACATCTTGTACTTGCTGTGACTTTCTTTTTCCCCTTGATTCTTGACCTTGATTCTTTTCTGTTGATTCTTGAGACGTCTATGAAGGGGTATACATTTTCAATCATAAAATAAATCATGTGTTCCCAGGAAGCAGCCCTTTGGTTTCAGGATCTCAGGGCTGATTCAGGCAACTGGCAGGAGACAATTCTTGGCATCAGGTTCTTTGCAATGTGCACTTGCAAGTAACAAAACGACTCAATCAGAAGGGAGATAGAAACATAAAAATGTCTACTTGAGCTCGCTGTTTCTTCTGGTGGCCAGAGAACCAGTGTCACAGGCATCCCGGAATAACCTGAGTGAACCAGCACTCTGTTTACAATAAATTCCAGTGACATCTCAGTCCCCCATGTAAATCAGAAGAGCTGGCTCGCCGTGCAATCTGACACTGCCCAGCAGTCACTCTTCAGGCCTCTCCTAAGCCCCATCCTGTGGGAAGGGTCCGGCTGAGCTCTCAGGGGTCCAAGCTGAATCCCGTCTGGTCCCACCGCTGCGGATCTCCCAGGCTGGAGGGCACAGCAAAGTGAGATGGGATGGGACGGGGAGCTTGCAGAATAGAGGCAGGGAAGGACAGGAATGCAGCATTGGAGGAGTAGGACACCGGGGAAGGCTCGCTGGGTGATGAGTGAATCTGACTCACCAGCAGAACAAATCCTGGGGACTGTCAGGCCTCACATGAAGGTCCAGAAGTCCCGGGCACCCACCACTGGTTGGGCATGGTGACCTGGCCCCGTGAAGAAAGAAGCCTCCTGGCAAAACGTGGCCACTGTAAAGCTGTGGCCGGGCCCCCCCTGAGGATCCTGGGTCCTTGAGTCACAGCTGAAGCAGCACAGGATGCAGGTGATGGCTACGGTGACCACAAACAGCACGGCCACCACTCCGATCACTGCTGTTTCCATGGCCCCACGTGGCAGATGACCGGCTGAGCCCTAGCTCCCCATTCAAAACAGGGTGCCCTTGGTGGTGGCAGGCACTCTGCCCTTCCAGCCGCTCTCCTTGTGGTCTCCTAAGCGGATGCTGGTCTGAGGCCCTGGGTCACGGCCCTTCTGGGCCATGGGGCACCCCGCATGCTGCTACTCAGACCTCGGTGGGTCTCTGTTATTGTTTTCTAAGCCTCTGGTCTGGATTCCAAGAACTGTGGTCAACTCCGCTGGCGACTTCTGGAAGAAGAGCTGTCCTGAAAGATGTGAGCACAAGACTTCCTGGACTTGGAGGGGCTGGAAAGAAGGAACAGAAGACTTTGCTCAGAGGGAACATTGCCAACCCTGCCCCCTGGTGACGCCTACAGATTTCAAGAGTTTGTCTTCTCAGACAAAAGACAAGATACTCCGCCTCCTGGGGACCCCGGATGAGCCTGGGCTCCGCCCCTAGAGGAACCTTGGGCCAGTCCTTGAATCAGCCTATCCGATGCCTCCTGAGCTCCTGGACCTGAGCAAGGGCAGGAACGCAGGTGGGGAGAAAGGCTCTGTGCCAGGTCGGGGCGGAGGCACTGCCAGGTCACCACAAGGGCCATGGGGCCTTTGGCAGGGGGCTGTGGTCCCTTTCACTTGGCATCCTTTTCTGCATGGGGTGGGAGAGCGCTATCTAGATAGGGCAGGATCCAAACCCCTTCAGTGATTCACTATGGGGCTCCTTCACCCTGTGGTTCCTGTTCCAGGAGAAGCCGTCTTCTGAATGGCCTCCCCGCTCCCCAACCCTCCTTGCTGCCTGCTCACACTCGGATGCTGTGAAAACTTACCCAGGGCTTCTCCAAGCGACAGAGCCGGCAGTGGTGCCATGGCCTCCTGACCCGGGGGCCACCCCAGGGGCCAGGCCACGGCACACTCATCCCTGGGCGCTGCAGCCTTGGTCCTGCTTGGGACAAGGCTCTGAGATGCCTGTGCAGCTCTGAGAACTTCCTGGATTCCTTCCTCCAATTGTGAGTGTGGGCCCAGGACCTGCACAGCTGCCTGCCCCCTCCGTGACTGCACTTACCCCACCCCCCCCAGCCCCCCACGCCATTGCAGCCCGGCAAGGCAGGCTCTCCACTTAGCCCATCCGGGTGAGGGGCCAGCCGGGCCAGGCCACCCAGGAAGTCTGCCAGAAGAGCTGCCTCCTGACCGCCACCCGGTCCCGGCTCTTCCACAGCTAACCGCCTGAGACGACCCCACTTCCAGAAAGGAGGCTGGATTGCCGGTCCCACTTGACCCAAACTCTGAGAAACAGAGCAGTGAGGAACAATGCTTCCAGGTACCAGGCACAGGGTTTCTTGAGAGTTCTCCAAGGCCCCAGTGAATTTTCTTTAGTACCAGTTTTAGGAAGTTGCTAAGTGCAGGATGAGAGAGCAACTATTTGGACTAAATGAGGCCTGTCATATTCTCACTCTTCCCTTTTCCAGGATGAGCTCCGGGCTCTTCCTCTGCATGAACGGCATTGGGCAAGCCGGGCCCATGGCAAACCTGGACACCTCAGATTATTTGTGTTAAGTAGGGCAGCCAGAGCAGAAAGGAAACATGATGTGCCAGTCTGGGGCGCATGGTTTCAGACTGAATCACCAAAATCAACTCGCCAGTTCAGGAGACAGAGGGCACCAGAGGAATCCGGTTTCAAACTGAATTATTTGTTTCTTTGAATTCTCGTTTGCCTGGTCTTTGTGGACGCATGTAGTTGGAGGCCACCCGTTGTAGATGTGTGTTTTTCAGCACGTGTGTTTATTCCTGGAATAAAGGACAATTGCTCAGCCCTCTTGTCTTCTGCCTTGGATGGGTTTCCTTATCTGTTTCTGAGATTGGGGCCCCTTCTCTGATTCGCCAGTAAATTAGGCCTTCTGATCCATTCTGACAACAGACATTCAATAGTTGAACACAGGCTGTGTGGCACAATGAGAGGGCCCCAGGGATATTGTGAGGACAGGTCCAGTCTGCTATGAAGGCTCCTCAGGGTTGCATATGATGTCACACCCGCAGTCTGCAACATGGAATGACCAACACGGCATCTCAAGCCCAGGGCACAAGGAGCCATCCTTGATGAAGATGGACAGGGTGCAGATACTTTCACCACAATGCCCACTCAGTTCAGGGTCCTTGCCTTCAACTATCCCCCAACAGCCCTGTCCTGTGATTTAAGCGGCAGCGGCATTCTCAGGCGAGTTGGAAAGATCAAGACAGCCATACATGTTTACTACTGCTCAGAGACGTTTGTGCTAAGGGCTTTTTTCTGGGTATCTTCTCCTCTTCCTGTGACTATTGTAATCCTGTAATATACAGCCCCTGACCATGGACCCCAGACGCCGTGGGACTTCCCAAGATAACTACCATTTAGATACATATGTGTCGCCCACAGCCACCATCATCAACTGATCAGAAAAAGACACATCCCTTACTTTCCCTTACATTAGAAGGGGAAAGATGATGGCAGACATCCTAAAGCAGAGAGAATAGAGCTCTCCCAGAGACTCCAGGCCACATTTAGGAAAGGCAGGCCATCCGAGACTGACACAGGGCTACATAAAGAGATGAGGGAGGGAGAGGGGACGTCCAAGCCAGCAGGCCCACCCACGTCCATCTGTTAAATGTTTCCCACTTTTCAGGCTCCCAACACTGGGGATGGAGGGGGAGCACAAGCCCCCTCAGCAAGGGCCCCAGGAGCTCAGAGGCCTAATCCCCTCAGGTCCTGCCATACTTGGTGTCCCTCAAGCCCCAAACTTCTGGCAGCGGTTATTCCGATCATATTTACTTTTCCAGAGAGCATGACGTTCTGAGAATTTTTCCTGAGCATCTGTTGTGTGGGCTGGTTCTGCACTGGGGGCAGGGAGCCCTCAAAGTTTCTTAGATGCATGAGGGCAGGGGCCCTTGAATCCTGCCATAAATCTCTGGGGGAAGAGACAGATGTATTCAGTGTTCCACCAGAAATATAAAAATAAATATGAATAGCAAATTGGAAACCCATAGGAGGGAGCAACAAATTCTTCTTGGGCAAAGACACAGAGAGGGGAAAGTATGAGGTGTTTTCTGGGGCCAATGACCAGAGCAGTGTGGATAGGACAAAAGGAGCAAGGGACAGGGACCAGACCAGGGGCCTTTAATAACCAACCAGGAGGCAGGGACTTCACCCCTAGGGCTATAAGGAGTTTCCGCAGATCCTGCAGGCCACGGTGCAGAGATACTTCAAAAAGGGGCAGGGCTGGACATGGGCAGGAGTCCAGATTGGGGGGGTGGGTGGGGGGAGGACAAGCTAGGACAGACTCGGGAATGCTGGAGGGGAGGCAGATTTGAAGGACGCTGCAGAGATAAAATCAGCAGTACGTGGTGACCCGTGACCTACTTTCCCAGCCCAGAAACCTAGCACGGCTGTCAGTGTGGATTTGCCTCCCTCTCCCCCTTACACCTCCAACCCTCACAGAGAATCCACCAGGAACTAGAAAAGAAACAGGATGTTCTGTTCCAATGAGTCACCAGGCCCCTGACTTTCGGGCCCGTTCTCGAGCCCCTCCCCACCACCTCTCCTGGCCCCTGAGGCTCTCCTCTCTCTGCTTCCCACCCAAGCCCAGGCAAGGCCTCAGGACAAGATTTCCTTCCTCCCTGTGGAATTGTGCCAGCTATTCATGGGGTATTTAGAACATGCCTCCAGGCTTTGGCAAGAAGAGGTCTCTGCTATCCATCCATTTTACGGAAGAGGAAACTGAGATCCTGGGGAGACAAGCACTCTCCCAAGGCCACCCAGCACCACCTCCTCCAGTTTAAAGAACCTCCCAGCCCCTCTGCTATACACAGGCACCAGTGGGTCTGGGAGCTGGAGCCTCAAGGCTTGGATAAGAAACCCTGATTGAGTTATCAAGGAAACACTGAATTCAACACAGCTCACAGACTGGGGCTTCTGCAGGTCCCAGGGTTCAGTCTGCCCCGGAGATGCACTGGAAAGAGCTCTGGAGAAAGAGCCCTTGGTGACCAGCCTGGGTGGCCTCACCCCTCTTCTCTGAGCCCCTGGACTGTCCCACAGAAGCCCAAAGCTCCCCTGGTACACAGAGAGCCCTCTCTAGGCAGGGCTGCGTGCAAACCCCACGTCCTCCCTCAGAGCTTAGGCCCCAAGCTTTTCTCTCCTACTGCCCTTGGAGCACCACAGGGCCTGCCCAGTTTCCCCCAGGGCACGGCCAGCCCTCAAGCAGCAGGCACAAGCTGCCAGTGCCAGGCACTCACTTCTCACCAGAGAAGGATGTTCCCAGGGCATTGCAGACACATGCCTGGTGGCTCGATCCTTCTCTCCCACTCGAGCTGTACGATCAAGAGCCTCTTCACAAAAGCTTCCTCGTAGTTTTTATTTTCTTGTATTAAGGCACCAGTGAATTGACCTTGCAGCCTCATACTGTCTTCTCCAAACACAAGGCATTGCTGTCCCCTCCCAGCTACGCCCCTGGCCAGGGCCTGAGTAAATCAGAGGACAGCACTTCAGAGAGCACGGTACATCTTCTGTGCATCCACATGCACTGGTGTCCCCTGGGAGTTACAGTCACAGGCAGGGTCCATCCCCAAAGGACCATCTCTGCTCTCACCTTGTTACCTTCCAGTGTGTGCAGGGCCACCCCTGTATTCCTCGCTTCTCTCCTTATAGTACCCTGTGGGGGGGGGGGGGGGGGTATGCAAAAGAAGCCAAGCAGGACCCAGGGCACAGTGCTCAGTGTTTACCACAGAGAGGCGCCCTTCTGCACAGGAGCATGGGGGTCCACGGGAGGGCAGGCAGTGGCTGCCATTCACAGGCGTCAGTGGTGGCCTCGGTGGGCATGGAGGTGGGCTTGGTGGTGGGCTTGGTGGTAGAGGTGTCGGTGGAGGCGATGGTGGTGGAGGCCCACGTGGTGCGTGTGAGACACGTGGCCAGGATGACGGAAACAGTGAGCGTGTCCCGGGTGGCCCCGGCCCGGGAGGAGCCAAGGTTGGGCCCACCGGACTCGGTTTCTCCTCGCGGCCGGGCGGTTCCTCTCCACGTCATGGTCCCGCTGTCCGTGGTACAGGCAGGTGGCCAGCAGCAGCACCAACAGCAGAAGAGCCACGGCAATGCCTGTGATCAAGCCCGCGAGGGTCGTGCTTCCCAGGAGGCCTGGCATCTGGAAGCTGGACAGTCCTTCCTCTCGGCAGCTCCCTGCTGCTGCCTCCCCTTCGGCGGCCTCTACTCAGCCCTCACAACTCACTGGACTTTGTTGCCTCAGCTCCTGCGGGCTGGAGAGCAGCCAGGGAATGTGGGTGCAGCCTCTTTGGGCTGGAGCTGCCCGCCAAGTAAGAGGCCAGGGGACTGTTAACTCTGGGGAGGTCCATGGGGAGGCTGGGTGGGGACAGAGGAACTGTCAGGAGGGGCTGTGGAAGGAAGAATCCTGAGGCTGAAGACAAGAGGTCCCGGCCCCCCCATCCCTGTCACCTGGCCAAACGACCAAACCGGCCCCTTCCCCTCCCTGGCCTCCGCTCCCTCCTCTTTTAGACAGGACAGCATAGCAAGTAAGAACATAGGTTCTGGAACAACACAACGCACTAGTTCTATGACTATACACAAGTTACCTGACCTCTTTGTGCCTCCGTTTCCTCATCTGTAAAATGGCTAATAAGAGTAACTTTCTGGGGCACCTGAGCGGCTCGGTCGGTTGAGGCTCTTGCCTTTGGCCCAGGTCATGATCCCAGGGTCATGGGATTGAGCCCCGAGTCAGGCTCTGTGCTGAGTGTGGAGTCTGCTTGAGATTCTCTCTCCCTCTGCCCCTCTCTCCTGCTTATGTTCCCTCGCACTCTCTCTCTCTCTCTCTCTCTCTCTCTCTCTCTCTCTCTCTCTCTTTCTCAAATTAAAAAAGAAAAAAAAAGAAAAAAAGAGTACCTTCCCCCATACATATGGTTTTCTAAGGATTTGAGCAGTTAAGATTATAAAGCACTTAAACCAGTCCCTGACACATGTTTGCCATCAATATTGCAGTGGAGTTTGGGCTGGGGAGACCTCAGGATTTGAGCGCCTCTGGCTGTCTGTCCTGCTGCCGGAGTCCTCCAGGACAGGGGCGGGCCCTGTGCAATGAATTGTCCTGTACTTCCAGAGCTCAGTGAGGCACTGCGGGCAGATTCATCATTGAGACAGCCAGACGCCGTCTCTGGGTCCTCGGTGCCCACTCTGGGAGTTACCCGTGCTGCAGGAGGCAGGGAGGGGGCTACTGAGCTCAGAGAGGCCAGGCGCCATCCCAGCCTCCTGGTTCCCCATTCAACAGTCTTGACTGGCCATAAATGGCAGGCTTCTGGCTCCGTCCCATACCTTCTGAGCAGCAGAAGTGACATACCATTCCTTACTGGTGGAGAATTTACAGAGCAGGCCGGACCTGAACAGCCGCAGACTCCCCTACCCCTCCTGGTCCCAAATCCCCTCTGTTCATCCTAAACAAGTACTGTCCATTTGGCTCACGTGCCTCAGGGCTGGGCACCCGCTATCTCCCTGGGGAGCCCTTTCTGCTGTGGGTTTGTCAAGCTGTCCTCAAAGCTCCTTTTCACATGCGGCTCTCTGTCTCACTCTATGAGACCACAGATGTCCAGGGACCCTCCACAGTGAGCGCCCCACAGTTTCTATCCTTCCCTGCTGTGTGCTCATCTCTCTACCACCTGGAGGAGTGTTTTCAGCAGCCAGCCTCTGTGTGACCTTACGCAAGCCCGTCCCCTGACCCAGCCTGGTTCCTCTTCTGGAAAAGTTCCAAGGCAAAAGGTGACCTCCGGGGACTTTTCCTCTCAGACCTCAATGAGATGAGCTCTCCTCAGGGAGGCCTCAAACCCTTACTGAAAACCCTCTCTGGATGAAAACGTCAAACATTCCCTTCAACCAAATTGGGCTCAGGGGGCAGCAGGTCTAATGAGTCCTGGGGCTTTTGCCCTCAGACTGAAAGCCAATTCAACTTTTAATGATGCTGGAGTGAGAGCTCCTTCCTATGGCTTCCAGGGCCCTGGGGGCCCAGCTGCCTTCCCTCAGGGCCTATTAAGGAAGAAAGTCTGCTGGAAGGAGGAGGAGGAAGACAACAGAACTTTCTCCTTCTCGAAGGAGATTCCCACTCCACGCCAGCCACGGATGGGGCAGGACCCTGCAAACTGCAGACATGCAGAGCTTCAGTCAGCACAAAGCACTCTTGGAATCACCCAGACCCAGCCCTCACTGAGAGTTAGAGAAATTGAGGCCAGAGAAGGGAAGGGACTTGCTTAAGTTTTCCCAGCTTTGTGGGCTATTCTGTACAGCAGGTAATCAAGACAGCACTATTCCTAGAGTGAGGGGGGCATCCAGAGTGAGAGTCTGAGATCAGCTGGTGATCTTCTACAGAGATAACCGGGAAAGGGCTGTACAGATGTGAATGAATCTGAACTCCCCACCTCTCTATCTCTGTCTCTCTTTCTCTCTCTCCCTCCCTCCCTCCCTCACTCTCTCACACACACACATGACATTTGTTTTCTTAAGTGCAGGGTCACTTCCCATCTGGACAGAAGATAGGATCTCAGAGTGGGTGTTTGATTAGATGCTTTGAGCACTCGGGGGAAGGTATAGAGACCACAGTCCTCTGGGACTGCAGAAGTGACTGAGACCTTCTTGGAGTCCCAACTGAACACAAGGGTTTGCAGGGCTGATGACTTTAGAGGAACGTGTGACTGCGTCAGAAAAGCTCTTGTGTAGCACTGTGGTTGTATTTCTCTCATGGGGTTTGGTCTTCTGCACCCCGCACAAGCTACCTTCCTAGCTGAGGGACTGGAGTTTCAGACTATGCAGCTGAAAGATCAGCCTTTTGGAGTTCCTATCATTTAGCTTCATGCCCATTCTTTCCAGAGTGCACAGATTTATGCATTCACTCACATATCTGTGCACCCTTGTAAATTGCTCTGTAGGTAAACTCATGCACCGAGAATTGTGTGTGTACACATACTCAGGCACATATTCATGCACATATGCATGAGTGCATACAAGTTCCATACAAGCTCACAAACTCCTGCGTGTACTAGATACAAGTGGTTCTTGGCTGTCCCAAGAGAGCAACCATTGTTTTCAGCGCTTGGTAGCACCACCTAGTGGTGAAACTGTAAAAAATAAGTTTTGCATTCTGATCTTTGTTTATAGATCATAATTTGAATCCATTTACTTAACTCCTCTCTGTTCCAGATTCTGGTCTGGAAATTTTAAGGAATTTCCACAAGATATAGTACAAATGAAACCATATTGATGGAGGCACTGACTAAGGAAGGGTGTCTCTGGGAGGTAATGAAGGGTATGCCCCAGCAGAGCCTCCCCTAAGACCTATGATAGACAGCCAAGACTAGGAATGAGGGTGAGGTGGGCACTGGCAAAAAACAAGTTGAGTGACTTTAGGTATTGCACGGGTGGCTGCTCTCAGAAGAAAGGCCAAGACTCAGCTCATCTTTTGTTCTGCACAAAAAGCAGGGATATTGGCCAGCACGTTCCTAACTTGGCTTGCTCATGCCAGTTAGAGAAGGGAGATACTCCTCTGCCTAACCGTGGGTGGCCTTAGTAAATATTGAAAAGAAGTTGCCAAGAACAGCAGCAAACCTCTCTCCTCTTCTCAGGAGCTCTCCCTGCCCTAATCATGGCCAAGTAGACCACCCCCAACCCCAATCTAAAAAACTAAATCATAAACAACCAGGCTCTTTTTTCTTCTTTCTCCATTTGCCTTACACCAACATGCTTGAAAATAAGCTACAGAATTTTTATAGAACTATTTCAATTACAATACCAAACAAACATCAGTCTAGGTCCCTCTTTAAAGCAAGCAAATAGGGTCGCCTGGGTGGCTCAGTCAGTCAAGCATCCGACTCTTGATTTTGGCTCAGGTCATGATCTCACAGTTTGTGGGGATCAAGCCCTATGTCTCACTAATAGTGCAGAGCCTGCTTGGGATTCTCTCTCTTCCTCTCTCTCTGCCCCTGCCCCACTCACATGTATGCACACTCTCTCTCTCAAAATAAATAAACTTTAAAAATAAATGAATAAGTAAAGTGAGCAAATAGAGAAAAATTGCTAGATATATAAAAAAAGATATCAAGTATTGTACCTTATTACCAAGGTTACTAGAATCTAAAAAACGGAGAAATAGTAAAATCCCAAAATGTATATTCTAAATAATATTCAAAAGTCAATCCATACATAAACTTGGGGAAATACTCAAAGCAGGAAATTTACTCTCAGATTAAAAATCAAATCAGGAAAGATTGCTTTGAGAACCATCCTCATAAGTCTCGGGGGGAAAAAAGGAATAAAGAGAGAAAGAGAGGGAAGAAATGGCCAGGAAATCAAATAAGCTTATATAGCAGACATTCTAGAAGTAGAGAACAGAGCCCATGGAGAAATGATCATTAAAGAAATAAAGAAGGGCACCTGGGTGGCTCAGTTGGTTAAGCATCCAACTCTTGATTTTGGCTCAGGTCATGTTCTCACAGTTCATGAGTATGAGCCCTGCGTCAAACTCTGTGCTGACAGTGCAGAGCCTTCTTGGGATTCTCTCTCTCTCCCTCTCTCTCCGTCCCTCCCCCCATCCCCTCTCAAGATAAATAAACTTAAAAAAAACTTCCCTGAGCTGAAGAATTCCATCTTTAGATGAAAAGTCACCCTGAGTACTAGGCAGACTATTTGAAGAAGCCAGAGCAAGCCATCTAGGTACACCCAGGTGAAATTTTGACATTAAAAATGTGATGTAAAAATATATATATAAAGGAACTCAAATGTTACAGTCATTATGTAAATAGTCTGGCAGTTTCTTACAAAACTAAACACATGCTACCATATGATCCAGCAATCACACCTCTTGGTATTAACACAAAGTAATTTAAAACTTATGTTCACAGAAAACCTGCATACAGATGTTTACAGCAGCTTTATTCTTTTTTTGTGTATATTTATTTTCGAGAGAGAGCACAAGCAGGTGGAGGGGCAGAGAGAGAGATGGAGACACAGAATCTGAAGGCGGCTGCAGGCTCTGGGACAGCTCAGAGCACGACACAGGACTCAAACCCACAAACTATAAGATCATGATCTGATCCGAAGTTGGGTGCTTGGCTGACTGAGCCACCCAGGCACCCCAGCAACTTTATTCTTAATTGCCAAAACTTAGAAGCAACCAAGATGTCCTTCAGTAGGTGAATGGATAAATAAACTAAGGTACATTGAAACAGTGGACTATTATTCAGCACTAAGAAGAAATAAGCTATCAAGCCATTAAAAGACACGGAGGAAATCTTAAATGCATTTTGGTAAGAGAAAGAAGAC